CAAAAACTCAAAAATGACAAAAGATAGAGTGCTGAGATTTTCAGTGATAACAGAGGACATGTTCTAGTTGTGCACCTCAGTTTTCAAACTTTCTGGAAGTGCCTAGTATGGAAGCTCGGTAGGGGTCAAAATTTAGGACATGAATCAGGAGTGAATTTTCGAGACATTTTTTATCATATCTTCAAAACTATGAATATTTTCTTAAAACACGTTGAACAGAAATTGTGCAGAATTACTAGATCTTTTATATGATATCAAGAAAAAAGGGCTGACTCATCACATTAGGGGCCAAAAGGGGCAGAAAGTTTTAAATCCATAACTCTTTAACGATCAATATTTTGTTATACATTACTGAAACAAAAATGTTTATCTGAACAATCTACAACTATATATTATAATAAAAATCTCATATGTTACATAATTAGGGGCCATAAGGGGCCAGAATGCTAAATCTTTGACGCTTTATATCTCGAAAGTGGGAAATATTTTGATAAGCGATATTGAACAAAAGATGTTCAAAATAATGTTCTAAACAATATGCAACCTTTCAATATTTGCTAAACGTCCCCATTAAGGAGTTGAAGGGCCGGCCCCTAAATATTTCTTTTGCATATATCTCAGTAACGAAAAAGAATTTCTGAATAGTTGTTGAACAAAATGTGTTCAAAATCATAAGAGCTTTAAGGTGAAATCAAGAAAAAGGGGCTGGCCCCTCAAAATAGGGGCCGAGAGGGGCCGAAAGTGTTTCATCAATAACTCTTTAACGATCAATATTTTGTTATACATTACTGAAGCAAAAATGTTTATCTGAACAATCTACAACTACATATTATAATAAAAATCTCATATGTTACATAATTAGGGACCATAAGGGGCCAGAATGCTAAATCTTTGACGCTTTATATCTCGAAAGTGGGAAATATTTTGATAAGCAATATTGAATAAAAGATGTTCACAATAATGTTCTAAACAATATGTAACCTTTCAATTTTTGCTAAACGTCTCCATTAAGGAGTTGAAGGGCCGGCCCCTAAATATTTCTTTTGCATATATCTCGGAAACGAAAAAGAATTTCTGAATAGTTGTTGAACAAAAAGTGTTCAAAATCATAAGAGCTTTAAGGTGATATCAAGAAAAAGGGACTTGCCCCTCAAAATAAGGGCTGATAGGGGCCGAAAGTCTTTCGTCAATAACTCTTAAACGATCAATATTTTGTAATACATTACTAAGGCAGAATAGATCAACTTCACACTCCTTAACTATATAACGTTGTTGGCATCATATGTTACGTTATAAGGGGACAATAGGGGCCAGAATGCTAAATCTTTGACGCTTTATATCTCGAAAGTGGGAAATATCTTGATAAGCAATATTGAATAAAAGATGTTCACAATAACGTTCTGAACAATATGTTACCTTTCTATTTTTGCTAAACGTTCCCATTAAGGAGTTGAAGGGCCGGCCCCTATTATTTCTTTTGCAGATATTTCGGAAACGAAAAAAAAATGTAGAATAGTTGTTGAACAAAAAATGTTCAAAATCATGAGAGCTGTAAGAAGATATCAAGAAAATAGGGCTGGCCCCTCAAAATAGGGACCAAGACGGGCCGAAAATCTTTAATCTATAATCTTTAATGATCAACATTTTGTTATAGATTACTGAAGCAAAATTGATCGTCTTAACAATTTATTTATATCATTATATTTGAACGAAAGTCTCAGTCAAATTCTTATCTCATCTTATCAAAAATCGGACGGAAGACCCACTCGCATCTAGTTATTTATCTATTTTTTACGAGTTTACTGATCAAAATACATAGAAGTACTTTTTAGCTCACCTGAGCTGAAAGCTCAAGTGAGCTTTTCTGATCACATTTTGTCCGGCGTCCGTCTGTCTGTCCGTCTGTCTGTCCGTCTGTCTGTCCGTCTGTCTGTCTGTAAACTTTTCACATTTTCGACTTCTTCTCAAGAACCACTGGGCCAATTTCTACCAAACTTGCCACAAAGTATCCTTGGGTAAAGGGGATTCAAGTTTGTTCAAATGAAGGGCCATGCCCTCTTTCAAGGGGAGATAATTAGGGTTTAGTGAAAAAATAATGGCATCATTTAAAAATCTTCTTCTCAAGAACCGTAGGGCCAGGAAAGATGAAACTCATGTGGAAGCATCCTCAGGTAGTGTAGATTCAAGTTTGTTCAAATCATGACCCCCGGGGGTAGGGCAGGGCCACAATGGAGAATCAAAGTTTTACATAGAAATATATAGGAAAAATCTTTAAAAATCTTCTTGTCAAGAACAGCAAAGCCATGATGAGTCATATTTATATGGAAGCATCTTCAGGTAGTGTAGATTCAAGTTTGTTCAAATCATGATCCCCGGGGGTAGGGCGGGGCCACAATGGAGGATCAAAGTTTTACATAGAAATATATAGGAAAAATCTTTAAAAATCTTCTTCTCAAGAACAGCAAAGCCATAATGAGCCATATTTATATGGAAGCATCCTCAGGTAGTGTAGATTCAAGTTTGTTCAAATCATGACCCCCGGGGGTAGGGCAGGGCCACAATGGAGGATCAAAGTTTTACATAGAAATATATAGGAAAAATCTTTAAAAATCTTCTTTTCAAGAACAGCAAAGTCATGATGAGTCATATTTATATGGAAGCATCCTCAGGTAGTGTAGATTCAATTTTGTTCAAATCATGACCCCCGGGGGTAGGGCGGGGCCACAATGGAGGATCAAAGTTTTACATAGAAATATATAGGAAAAATCTTTAAAAATCTTCTTGTCAAGAACAGCAAAGCCATGATGAGTCATATTTATATGGAAGCATCTTCAGGTAGTGTAGATTCAAGTTTGTTCAAATCATGACCCCCGGGGGTAGGGCGGGGCCACAATGGAGGATCAAAGTTTTACATAGAAATATATAGGAAAAATCTTTAAAAATCTTCTTGTCAAGAACAGCAAAGCCATGATGAGTCATATTTATATGGAAGCATCCTCAGGTAGTGTAGATTCAAGTTTGTTCAAATCATGACCCCCGGGGGTAGGGCGGGGCCACAATGGAGGATCAAAGTTTTACATAGAAATATATAGGAAAAATCTTTAAAAATCTTCTTGTCAAGAACAGCAAAGCCATGATGAGTCATATTTATATGGAAGCATCTTCAGGTAGTGTAGATTCAAGTTTATTCAAATCATGACCCCCGGGGGTAGGGCGGGGCCACAATGGAGGATCAAAGTTTTACATAGAAATATATAGGAAAAATTTTAAAAATCTTCTTTGCAGGAACAGCAAAGCCCTGATTGATGTATTATTATGTGGAAGCATCCTCAGGTAGTGTAGATTCTATTTTATTCAAATCATGGCCCCCATGGGTAGGATGGGGCCACAATGGAGGATCAAAGTTTTAAATAGAAATGTAAAGGAAAATATCTTCTGAAGAACTGCAAACCATGATTAGTCATTTTGTTATGGAAACATATAGAAAAAATATTTCTTCCCAAGAACAAGAAAGCTATGTTTAGTCATACTGATATGGAAGCATCCTCAGGTAGTGTAGATTCAAGTTCAAATGATGACCCCTGGGATAGGGAGGAGCCACAATGGGGGATCAAATTTTTACAAAGGAATATATGGGAAATTTTTTTAAAATCTTCTCAAGTACAACAAAGCCATTTGTTATATTGACATGGAAGCATCATCAGGTAGTTTAAAATTCAAGCCCCCCCCCCCTTCCTGGTAATCTTTTCAATACTGAACTGATTTGTGCTTTTGCCCAGCCAATCTGCTCAGGTGAGCGATGTGGCCCATGGGCCTCTTGTTATATTATACATTAAAAGTTCTTGGATAATTCTTTTTATTCAAATGACCAATCAATTATTTACAGTGATTAAATATATTGAGTAAATAACAAAGGGTAATAACTTCTATGAATGTAGAATACAAATTTCTCTACATGATCAAAAGAGCCCTGCCCAGGACTAGAATCATTCACTCAGGGGCTATTTATTTCATAGCTTGAAAAAAGCACTCTTGCTCATCATAATCATACACTTAGTTTGTCTGGTAAATACCCAGGAGCAGAGAAGAAGATTTTGAAAGAATAAATGCATGTTCACTATAAGATTATAGACCTTCACAATAACACCAGGACCTCCGACCAAGGTGCCATGAATTTTGCAACTTCAGAAGAAGCACCCTTGACCATCATAATCATGCATTTAGTTTATCTGCTAAATACCCATGAGCAGAGAAGATTTTTGGAAAATTAATGAAATTTCAATTTACATTGATCATTTGAGCTGCCATTATTAACACCGGAACTCCTAATCAAGAATTCATGAATCATGAATTTCACAACTTTAGAAGAGGCATCCTTGCTCTTAACCATGCACTTATTTCGCCTGCTTAATACCCAGGAACAAAGAAGGAGATTTTCAAGGAATCACATCTAATATAATTTTACTGTATAATCAATAGAGAACCGCCCTTACACCAAAACCCTTATCTCAGGGGCCACAAATTTCACAATTTTGGAAGAGGTACCTTTTTCGGTATGCTCTTAGTTTGCCTGGTAAATATACAAGGGAATAGAAAATGAGTTAAAGAAATTTATGCATTTCCACTATATGAACGACGGTCGACAGATAAACAGATAACAGTTGTCACTTAGGTGACTCATTACAATTCCTGTTGAAATTTTCAAATAAGATTATTTTTAAATTGTGCTGGAGGACACAGCTATCAAGTCAAGAATTCTAACTGGACAGCTATGATAGGCGATATCTTGACATAGATTATCATAAACATGAAGAAATGGTCAAAATGTACTGTTGTCATGTCTTGTTGTACATTTTGTATTTACTGACACACCTGGTAAATTCAAAATTAACAACATGACAGAACACTAGTTTTTCTAGCATTACATGTATCATGTTGATTTATTAGCACAGAAGAACTAAAAATTTTAAAACAATTGTCTGAAATTAGTATCTTAATACCTCCCTATCTCTAAGATTCATATCTCCACCAAATATTATTGTATGGTCCATTGGCGTAGACTTCATCGCTTCAAAGCAGAATACCAGCTGGTCTTTTCTTTCCTCACTGCAATTCAACAAACTCTCCAGGTGTGACGTCATAAAAATGAATTGCACGCCCTTTATTCTACACTGAATGCATAAGAAAAATATCTATAATTAATTGATAATAACAAATATGCATAGTAATATATTCTATTCCTCTCTAGAAAAAAATGTATTAACATATTTTTTTCCATTTTTGTTTAATTCTGTTTGAAAACTTTGAGAGTTTTGCAATAAATAGGGAGTGCTTCGTTAGAAACCGTGGTTAAAAGAAATGATCACAAGAAATGGTTAAGAGTATTTAAGATAATGCTGTAAGTTTGGATGAAGGGTTTTTCAATAAACCAAAAAAAAAAGAAATAATGTCTTTTTTTAACTGTTCAAACTTTATATAAAAAAGACTAGTTATTTTACTACAGACACTGTCTCAAGTGTTATATTATTGATTTTTGTAAATGTATGTTCCTTAAACACAGATCAGTGAATACCCTTGCTAAAAGTAAATTTCTTCCCATTCTTGTGTTTTCAAACGGCATTACACTGTAGCTTTGGAAATCAAGATCTTCCATTTTCAACATAATGGCAACAAAATAGTCATTTCCCCGAGCTGGAATTACTATATATTCTGGACATTTCTCTTTCAGGATCACTAAAGTGTCCATTATCACTTCCTGTAGCAGAACAACATGAGGATCCACTCTGAAAGCAGAACAAAGAAGCCTTAAAAATCAAAGAGCCATTTGACTATAAATTGTGGACAGGTAAGTGTTCAAAAGCACTTGTTCAACTGCAACAAACACTGCCAAATCTGTTCATGGGCTTTTAAAATCTTCCATACCCTCCAATTCAATCATTGCAAATAAGCTGTATACATGTATTTGAATTCAGGGATATTTTCTTTATTTCTTATCCATTCTTTCGTTTTCACTAAATTGGAGGCGATAAAAGAATTAGAAAGATTACATGAACTATATGTTATGGTTCCGACAGGCTTATTATTATAACTATATTTTAGGAGAACTTGGTTTTAATTCTATGCTGGAAATCCACTTTGTACTCAAAGTTCACTTTTTAAGAATGAAATTCTTCAAAATCACATTTCAATCTTTAATTTTTTTAAAATTCCAGTCAACCAAGAAGGGGAAATCAATCTACCCTACCTGGATACCTAAATTTACAAAAATCATTACAAACAGAGATACATTGCTGGTTCCAGCAAATGCTCTACAGAGCCCTATCTTTACGCCTGACAAAATGTTAACTGCTGTAAAGGAGAAAAATCAGACGTAGTGTACCACTGCACATTCTAGAAGTGCTGTAATCAGATTTTGATTCTCAAAAATTCGAAAGTACGTTTAGAAAATTTAAGACGTCAAATTTTTCAAAAGTTAGTAACATCAAAACGAACGACTTTTCTACGCTTCAGACAACCATTCCTCACGATAAATTAAACTCTAGGCTTTTTGACATCATAGACAATTGCTTCTTCAATAAAAACGGAACTCGGAAATTTTCATATCTTATGATTGGTCATCAACAAAATAACTTTGTTAAAAATCACTCTAATTCTACACGCAATTACTCTGAAGTTCATAATAAAAGGATAATGGAGTTCCTTATTGACAACATCTTTATAGTCTTCGGAGACCAGGTCTTCCAACAAACTGTTGAAAAATTCTGGTGAGCTCTTACTGTGCTTCTTTATTAGCATACCTGGTTTTATGTTCCTATGACGTGTTTGCTCTGCTCTTGCTCTGCTCCTGATCTGTATTTTTTCTATGGACTTTTGAGCTTGATTACTGTTCGTTATCTCCATATTTGATACAAAAACTTTAATATGAGAAGAAGAAACACTTGTTGTGGCCTTCAACTCGACATTCAGATATATCGATTTACGATAGTTACTTCCATTCATATGTCGACTCTATATATCCCAGTGAACTCACAATAAACGATGTCACAGTCTTGCCACATTTGTTTCATATTTGAATGTTTTCGTGACGATAGACAATAATGAAATTGTGTGACAAACGAAGTCAACTTTCCTTTTTTTTATTTAGTTATATTCCGCTATCACTTGCCTATGGTGTTTACGTCTCCCAACTCATTCACTACTCAAGAGCATGCTCTGAGTACGATCAATTTTTAAACCAAGTCTGGCATCTGACAGATAAAGTGATGTTAGAGGGATCTCAAAAACCCTCGTTTAAAGTCAGCATTCTGTAAATTCTATGGTCGTTATAATGACTTTGTTAGCAAAGAAAACCTATCATTGGGTCGTTTTTTGGCTGACTTGTTTCATACCATTGTTAGGCCTTTGTTTTTATACTAAATTTGACTACGGAAATTCCGTTTACCTGATCAATACATAGAGCTCAGGGGGATGCTTACTCCTCCTAGGCACCTGATCCCACCTCTGGATTTCCAGGGGTCCGTATTTTATGCACTGTCACAGATTTGTATTGCATGTAGATATTTCAAGATTTCGCAAATTTTATGATCGATACAGTAACCTTGTTTGCAAATTTAATCTGTCGTTGGGTCGAATGCTGACTGACATTTTCATACAGATTTTTAGGCCATTATTTTCAAACTGAATTGTCTGCGGTTTTTTCCGTTTACCTTATCATGACAAGGAGCACATGTTTTTTTGTATTATTTAAATAGACGCTTGGGAATGATTACTATTATCTTCACTTTTCATTTAACCTCTGAATGATGTTGCAGATTTCTTATGTTTTAGACTTACCTGTGAATGATGTTGCAGATTTCTTCGGCTCCAGACTTACCTATGAAAGATGTTGCAGATTTCTTCTGCTCCAGACGTACCTATGAATGATGTTGCAGATTTCTTCGGCTCCAGAATTACCTATGAATGATGTTGCAGATTTCTTCTGCTCCAGACTTACCTATGAATGATGTTGCAGATTTCTTCTGCTCCAGACGTACCTATGAATGATGTTGCAGATTTCTTCGGCTCCAGACTTACCTATGAATGATGTTGCAGATTTCTTCTGCTCCAGACTTACCTATGAATGATGTTGTAGATTTCTTCTGCTCCAGACGTACCTATGAATGATGTTGCAGATTTCTTCTGTTCTAGACTTACCTATGAATGATGTTGCAGATTTCTTCTGTTCTAGACTTACCTATGAATGATGTTGCAGATTTCTTCTGTTCTAGACTTACCTATGAATGATGTTGCAGATTTCTTCTGCTCCAGACTTACCTATGAATGATGTTGCAGTTTTCTTCTGTTCTAGACTTACCTATGAATGATGTTGCAGATTTCTTCTGTTCTAGACTTACCTTTGAATGATGTTGCAGATTTCTTTTGTTCTAGACTTACCTATGAATGATGTTGCAGATTTCTTCTGTCCTTGTCTCTGCTGTCGACTCCACTAAACCTTCTATATTATAACTCAGAACTCGAATTCTTTTCTGCGTCTCATCATGGTCGTTGCTTTCGCTTTGAATAGATGTTATATTACCATTATTTGCACAATATTTGGTTTTCATTAAGATGCTATCAACTATTAATTCCAATGAACACGAGATAATTCTAAACAATTGATCTATCTCCGTAAACATGTACATGTATTATAATTAGCTAGCTTGAGATTCTCCATTATTTTTTGTTCTATAGGCAATACTTTTTATCACCCTGACCCTAGTGGTCACTAAATACTTATTCGACAACCATCATGACCATGCCATGCTTGAATTTAACATTTCGTCTCCATGATTTTTTGATAGGGCAATCAATGTCATTTACTTTCTTTATATAAATATTCTTTGGGAACTTAATTCCATGGGCCATAATAATCACCTGTTTCATCTTGTAGTTCGCAGATTTCTTTTTCAGATTTGTAATATTTGTATATAAAATCATGAATGATATCGTCCACAGTAGGTTTGGTGAATCTTGTTCATTTGGCAAATGTTCAAACACATTCTAAGAAGATGGGCAAACAAGGCGAGCGAAATGCCTACAGTACGACAAACGTGAAGGAGAAAAAATAAAATCTCAATGCAAAATTTTCTTCGATTGCCTGACGCCACGTGCGTCAGGCAGTATAAGGATTAATTTTTTCATGATCCGAAACTAAGCGATCTTTCTTAATGAACTAGATTTTTGTGCAAGCTGATTTACATCGGAATTTGTTATCTGCATTTAAACAAATACAGTTTGCAGCAGAAAGAGTCATATTACTGACGCATATAATCATGTGTTTAATTCCTTCGGGTTTTTTTGCATGCACATGTTTGTTCTTTGTGATTCTTTGAACGGACATGTCCGTGTAACATTTTTTCTGCGTTTCTTAACTAATGGATCAGTCCATTTGCCTTCTACGAAAGGGGTGACCCAATCATTTCGCGCCAAATGTCACATGTAAATTATCTTCGTGCCTTTTTCTTGGATTGTTCTATTGAATGGGTGTGATAACTTCTATGGAAATAAATGAAGTTTATTCTTTTAACCTGATTCTTAAGCTTCAGATTTTTTATTAACAGTACATTTTATCTCATTTTTTAAAAGAACACATTGTATATGGACAGGCAACACTAAAGCAATGGATTTGCTGATTATTCTCACTATTTATCCTATAAGTGGACTAGTCCAATCACAAAGAAACTCCCTCCATCTAGGAAATGGATCATCCCTTCTTGATTCAGTCTGTTTTCCACCTTTTCTTACAATCTTACATTTATTAATAATGTACGTTACAAGGTAAGGTTTTTAAAAAAGCTTAGAAAGTCAGCCAGTAGCATATAGTATTTCATGCTTTGTGATGAACAAGGGTTTCCTTTTATTACAGTGACAAGAGTGTAGGTCAGTACTTGTATAGGAATGGGCTTCACTCCCGTAAGGTTCTAAGTAAAAAATCGGCAAAATGAAAAAGACATCATGATCTGTACTGGTTTTCATTTCATAAAAAAGCATGTTATTATATATTATAAGAGAGGTCCTGAAATCGATTGAAAAGAAAGAGTAAACAATTTTAAAACTGTACATAAAGATGTATTTTAAATTCATTTATAATACATATACATGTATATGGTAAGACCATCATCGCGTGAGTTTTGTCCGGAGTGGTAGAGGTGTTATTAGTATCTTGTTTTGCTCTAGCTATAAAGTGTACAAGCCATTTACTTTGAGTTCTAGAACAGCATTGAAGCATTTTTTTCTCAAACACTTTAAGACAACTTTTCCAGTTAAAAGTGTTCATAATTTACTTCGTCGTCGACGGAAAAGAGACCAGTCTATAAATAGAGGCCGTCTCGTCAATCTATCACTGACGAGAGTGTGCATGAAGAAGCGCATCCTCTGGTAAGAGAGTACATGTAATAATATTATGAATTTCTTTAAAACGAATCATCTATTTTTCCCAGAATTATAATCTACGCTAGCGCACTTGCAGTTTCATCCCAACGTAACTAATCAGCCCGTGGGCTAACTAATAAATGACCAAATGGTGGTATGTCTTAGATATATATTCGTTAATCTGTAGTATTTGGTTATGACATTTGAGAAATTCAATTGTACATCTTGTATAAAGAAGTATCGCAACTATGTCGCTCCTTGATGACAGAAACGTTTAGCACCTCTCTTGCTTATACGTTCCATAGATAATAATTGATTAGTCAGGCAAGCTTTTTGAAAAGTTATTACTTGTATTTCGTCTAAAATTGACGTATACTTTCTGTAAAATCTCCACAATTTGCAAAAAAATCTCACAAAGATTAAAATTATTTGCATATGAAATAGCGTATACACACTAAAGAGGGCAAAAGGGATCATTTTCTCATACAATAACACAATTTTTCTATATGAGTGGGTCTTCGCTCCATATTTTTGAAAGTTTTTCCTCAAAGTTTGTGTAAAAAAAATATACCTTTTTTGTTTAGCAATAAACATGGAGCAAAAACCCACTATCCCTTAAAAATACACTTTTATGACACAACATTCGCATCTTTCCGAGAAATACTTGAAGTCCTTTTAGTAAAGGGTTATATATCACAAACATGATTTCAATTCCACCATTCATCACGAGTCGTGTAGCGTAGTGGTTAGCGTGTTAGTCTCAAAGGAAAATGATATTCAAGATTTTTATTGCTAAGGTTCGAACCCCAAGAATACCACATTTAAATTACAAAAAAATTGCCAAGAAAATTTTCCTAAGAAAAGTTTTGTTTTTCATAACTTCATGATTTTCAAAAATGAGGAGTTTTCATTAAAGTGACAGTACGGCGCATCTCATCAAAAAACTGACTTGATGAAATTTTCCGACAAGATTTGGAATTTTTTTACTGCTCAGAAATGTATATACTTTCAGAAAATTACAACTGTCACAATTAAATAATTTTGATTATTTCATTAAAATTAATAGTTATTTATGGGACATAAATATATACATCGCAACGTGTTCGGGGTTCTATATTCCATGCTATGCACGCATGCGTAGTTTTCATAAACAAAACAGCATGGTAAGAGAAGGAAGCCAGGTAGGCCTGCTACATTGACAAAGTCGACCAAAAAGAAAAAGAAACTGAAAATAGAGTTTGAAAAAACAAATTTCCTGACTAAAATTTAGTTTGGGGATTAATATAATCGTTGGATAAGGAAGAAACGGGAACTCGGCGACACGCAGGGCTCGCAAAGGTTGTACTCAAAAGGTTTGTTGATACTTATTATCATTTCTCATTTTTCCATCGCTTTCAAAGAAAAAAAAATAGTGTAAACTCAACATAAAAATACTCCTATGACATAAACATTGTTGCCCTTTGAAGTGGTAATTTTTTTAACTGTGCAGAAAAAATATTTTGTTTGACATTTGCCGCAATAACGTATGATTTGGTGGTTTTTCCTTTCTCGGACCCCAATACACAAAACGTCAACATTTGTACTTTTAATTCTGTTAATTTCGCCTGAAAGCAGACTAAAATCTTTACGGTTATAATTTTAGACTATTTTTATCAGAAAGTTATGATAATTTGATTTTGAAAATTGCTTTTACCTCATATTCATTATAATTGTAAACTCTTTAGTGTAGGCACGTGCCGTTTTAGAATTCACGTAGTACAAATAAACAGATCTACGATTGCTCCAGTTCGTACGACCCTCTGATTTTCCGGCAGATTCTAATTACGTTATTATCCATATTTTTTTGTATTTCTGCCCTAGGGATTTCCTTTTCAGTCAAATACATGAAAGTTATTGTAAAAAGTCACCAAATCGTGAAATTTCAAAAAAGTTGACCATCTGATTGGGTCTAGGTTACCGTATTATTACAAAGTTTTTTTTCCCAATGCCCAATACCTCTAAATTTGCCATATTGCGGTATATATTTTGTATATGTCGGCGCAGATGAATTATTTTGGTAAAAAGAATAACAATGTTTAGATTGCTGGTATGTCTCTTTTGATTTTCTGTCAACAGTTTTTAATAAAATGTCCATGGACGTCTTGAATACTTAAGCGAGTTATGCGTCATTCTTCAGCGTCATGCATTGCTTACAGAACCGAGAACAGTGACGTCGTGAAAGCCATTTCAGCGTTTATTTATTGTCTTAAAAGCACATTTTAAGTCCCATAAACGTTACAGATAATGAAATATTATGTTAATTTTGTATCAAAATTACAATACTTAGGATAGGTGTTATGTTGCACCTACGACTGCATGAAACTAAAAAGCTGCGCAGAGTCAAGCGCACTCGAATTAGACTCGGCTTGTTAAATCATTTTTTGTGGTCAGCAGCCAAAATCTTTTGCTTTGGCTTGACTTCTGTTAGTCGGACTTTGGATGATTAGAGATTGTAGTTTCATCCAAAATATTGACCCTTGATCGATTGGAAATCTCTACCATTAAAAATGATATTTAGCCTTGATTGTTTAGTGATAGATTTTTCTTTACAATTGATACCATAGGTACTTGTTTCCGTAATAATTTTTTATCCCATATAGTCTAATAATAGGGTGTTGCTAAAACGCGGAACGGAAAGCGGAACGGAACGGAAAATCTTATATCAAATTATTTACTTCACGCATATTTAAATCTACGAAAGCCTAGAAGGGTCAAATAAGAAAATAAAAGAAATTAAAAAGTCGTAATAACGAGATAAAAAGTCGTTATTACGACTTAAGAAAGTCGTTATTACGACTTAAGAAAGTCGTTATTACGAGATAAAAAGTCGTAATAACGAGATAAAAATTACGGCTTTCTTAAGTCGTAATAACGACTTTTTACCTCGTTATTACGACTTTGTTAAGTCGTAATTACGACTTTTTATCTCGTTATTACGACTTTTTATCTCGTTATTACGACTTTCTTAAGTCGTTATTACGACTTTTTATCTCGTAATAACGACTTTTTATCTCGTAATAACGACTTTTTATATCGTTATTACGACTTTTTATTTTTTTTTTTTTTAATTTTCTTATTTGACCCTTCTAGGCTTTCATATAAATCAGACAGGAACCAGTATTCTTTATCATACAGTTTATATCTCATTAAAAAAAAATTACACGACAATATAATTTATTCATGACCGCCTCCCCCCTCCCTCTCCCCCCTATGAACTTACACTCGGTGATCAATGAAATACATACTAATTAGACACACAGCCCAAGTATTGATTTGAACGCCTCATTCATCACTCTTCCAAATCTAATTTTAAAGCTTATTCACCAAAGACAAAACTCTCTCTTTTTGATCATTTATTATGAAACAGGCAATGGTGTTTTAAAACAGGTGGAGGGGGAGGGGGCAGAGAAAGAGAATATGTGTTCTCACACCCTATTACCGGCAACTGGGACTGCCGATGCAACTGGGACGACAGATGGCAAAGTTGTTTTTCGCTATGACAGAGACCTGATTTTTATCGTATTTTTTACTATATATAACATTCATTTACTAACGTATGGTGGTTTCCTATGGAATTCCATATACGACAGCCAACTGCTTACAGCCAACTGCTCACTGCTTACTGCCAACTGCTCACGGCTTACTGCCAACTGCCACACATATTTGAATAAATTTTCATGTTTATATTGATATTTATGTGAATTTTCATAAAACCAGGCGCGGATCCAGGATTTTTTTTACAGGAGGGGTCCACCCGAGTAAAAAAAATCCAACCCAGAAATTAAAAACAAAAACGTAAACTCCTTTCCTAAACGTAAAAAACCTATTTCGGCGGGGGGGGGGGGGGGGGAGGGGTTGACATCTTATGCTTCATATCTATGACTTTTCATATCAACTTAACACGGATCCACGTTTTCTGGGGGGGGCGGGCGGGGGGGGGGGGGGCAAGGTCACCGTGGCTTTTAGTTGGTTTAGTATATACATTAAATAACTCTACAAATTCCAGGGGGTGGTCTGGACACCCACCCACCCCCTCCCACCGACCCCCCTCTAGATCCGTGTATGTAAAATATAACTTATTTGGGAAAATAAAGAGATATAGATCTTTAATTTGAGAAAATATTTCACTATAGAAATTATAGGAAAATGGAAATTTATTTTCAAAACATCTTCCCCCGAGAAACAAGAGATCCTTTTTTCAGTTTTTAATCATTCCAAAGGTTTTGTTGTCTCACGGGGGGGGGGATGTGTTTTTGAAGATTAAAAACAGGAAAATAGTCATTTTATTACCAATTTCAAATGAGATAACAAATAAAAAATGCACTTTATCACTTTATCAATCTCATATGTTAAATTTTACATAAGTTAAAACATACGGTGAGATTTAACAGTCATTTATCCATTTTCATTTTCATGAGTATTTGAAAATGGTAATGTTTACAGCCTGATTTCAATTGATAAAATTTTCTACCCCCTTATGAAAGGAATTGTAAATAAGAGTAATTAATTTTTTGTCACTGGTTTTTAAAATTAGTACAAATGAACTTTTCTTTGCTTTCAAACAAGTTTTTATGTCCAAATTGCCATTTATATTGAATTAAATGGATGGAAAATTTAGGCGGGAATCGAGAGTTAGTGTGCGTAGTTCTTACAATAATAACAAAAATTGGCGGATTTTAAAATGTCGAATAATATCTTTCGGATATTCTTTTTACCCTAGGAAAAGTACCTATGTGTGGGAATGTGACCCCCCCCCCCCTCTCTCTCTTACACGCATTAAAAAAGCTATCAAATTATTTGCCTGCAACGAAGTGCAGAAATTAAATGGTTTGTTTTTTTAAAGAGGAAACACTCCTTCTTCCGATTTACTCCTTCCTCGCCTTTACAGTTTAAAAATTCCTAAATCCGCCAAATTTTATTATTATTGTAAGAACTACGCACACTAACTCTCGATTCTCGCCTACATTTTCCATCCATTTAATTCAATATAAATGGCAATTTGGACATAAAAACTTGTTTGAATGCAAAGAAAAATGTTCATTAGCATTAAGTACTATTTTTAAAAACCATTGACAAAAAGTTTATTACTCTTATTTACAATTTCTTTCATAAGAGGGTAGAAAATTTTTTTCAATTGAAATCAGGCTGAAAACATCACTATTTTCAAATACTCATGAAAATGAAAATGGATAAATGACTGTTAAATCTCACCGTATGTTTTAACTTATGTAAAATTTAACATAAGAGATTGATAAAGTGATAAAGTACATTTTTTTATTTGTGATCTCATTTAAAATTGGTAATAAAATGACTGTTTTTAATCTTCAGAAACACGTGCCCCCCACCCCACCTCATCCCCTTGAGACAACAAAACCTTTGGAAGGAATAAAAACTGAAAAAAAAGGATCTGTTGTTTCGCGGGGGAAGATGTTTTGAAAATAAATTTCCATTTTCCGTTAATATCTATAGTGAAATATTTTTTTCAAATTAAAGATTTATATCTCTTTATTTTCCCAAATAAGTTATTCTTTACATGCATGGATCTAGAGGGGGGGTCGTTGGGAGGGGGGGGGGGTCCGGACCACCCCCTGGAATTGTAGAGTTAATTAATGTATAGACCTATATTAAACCATCTAAAAGTGACCTTGGACCCCCCCCCCCCCCTAGAAAACGTGGATCCGTGTTAAGTTGATATGAAATGAAAACTCATAGATATGAAGCATAAGAAGTCAACAGCCCCCCCCCCTCCCCCCCCCCCCCCCGCCGAAATAGGTTTTTCACGTTTAGGAAAGGAGTTTACGTTTTTGTTTTTGTTTTTTGTCAAGAAATTTCTGGGTTGGATTTTTTTTTTACTGGGGTGGGTCCCTCCTGTAAAAAAAATCCTGGATCAGCGCCTGGTTTTATGAAAATTCACATAAATATCAATATAAATATAAAAATTTATTCAAATATGTGTGGCAGTTGGCAGTAAGCCGTGAGCAGTTGGCAGTAAGCAGTGAGCAGTTGGCAGTTAGCAGTTGGCAGTAAGCAGTTGGCTGTCGTACATGGAATTCCATAGTTTCCCGTCTTGACCATACCATAAACTATTTCCTGTAGAATATAAAACTATAATTTCTTATCAAAACAAAATAAGAACAGAATAAAGTCAAATTTCAATCGTTGTTCAAGAAAATTTGGTCAAACTGAGCTTAAAATAATTAAAACTGCTACTCCACGGTCACATTTCTTGTTGTATTTAATAAATATAGGCTCTTAACGACATGACTGCAAAATATGGATAGTCTGTGTTGTTTAAAAAGTGTGCTACGAGCGCTTGATTTTGGTGGGTCAAGATCTTTTGGCTGTCTTGAACAGCAGATGGATGTTAACATGGCAAACACTGACGACAGATGATTGCAATCGGTAACAACTTTATTTTATTTTAGTTTTCGATGTTCTCATCACCAAAATGTTGAGTTCTACTTAGCAACGATATATATTGGAATCACTTAAAGGATAATTATAGTTTGGAACATTTAAAGATTTAACAAGATGCTCATGGGTCACATCGCTTACCTTAGTTACTATGGTCCTGCTGTCCTTCGGCAGATTTTTTCCCTTATATTCCCATGTAAAACTTTGATAATATATTAAGGCCCTACCCTACCCCAGAGGTTATGAACTGAACAAATTTAAACTATACTACATAAGAATGCTTCCGTATATACGAGTCAATGTGACTAATCGAGGAGTTGTTGTTCGTGAGTAGAAGATTTGATAAAAAAAAAAAAATTGGCTAGATAAGTTCATTTGGTACAAAATGTTACATTTTTAACCACGTTTTTCTAAAATTTTGCTATCTCTTGGTCATCTCTCCATGATATTGAAACGTTATTTGTGTGAATTTTAATTCAATGAAACTAAAAAACCATTTGTAAAAAATGGAGAGAAGACCCAGAGACCATAAAAAAATGAACTTTTTCCAAAAAAATCCCAGTGTGTAAGTGCGGTGCTTCATTGTCGCTTTAAAAACCATAAAATGTGTGAAGCGGTGATAGCTCAGTAGTAGGCGCTACCCGTCCAGTGCAACGTAAAAGAATTATTTTTGGTTCGATCCTCGCATGGAGCGTTAATAATTTTTTTAGTACAAACAATCAATTTTTTTTTCAGTTTAATTTTATGTACTGATTTATTTGCAAATAGATAAATTCTGGTTCTGTTGCACCGAAAGCGAAAGCAATTCTTCCAACCTATTGATACTTAAATATATACATGTAATTGCATTTAACTATACCCTTATAGGTGTTTATTATTTATATGAAGCGTTACTAAGTTTTACATGTAGTAATTATTAAGATAAGCGGACTGATATATTAAATTTGACAAAGTATTTCAAACTAAATGTAACATTTTCCCATGTGCGTAACTTTATAAAGTATGTCCAGCTGTGGTCAGCCGACCAAATCGTATAGACATTTAAACTATAAATGTTTTGTACGCATGATTCCTGCAGATCACACACGAAACACGCCCATCTTCTTTGTTCGGACAAATTACATATTCGTTCGGCGAAATGATACATGTACCGGTTTTCCTTTCCAACATCTTTTCCCTCTATTTTCAGGTATAACAGTTTCTGATAAATAGAATGCATTAAAGCACTTATCGCATGATCTTTCAAAAATCGTAATTTTATGAAAAATATTATCTATAACCTTATCTATTAAAATACTGAATACAATAAACTTGGTTGAAAGCATATTTTAAGAGATATTGAGAGTTGAAATTCAAATATGGCAATATGAATATTTCAGTCGGATTTCGGCGAAATCCTGCTCTCACGTCATACACATGTAGGCGACAATTCGGTGATAGAGAGATGAGAATATGCACACTATAAACGGAGTTATCAATGACAAATGCAGCTAAATTACGAAAATGCTGAAAAAATTAATTCCTTATATGCTTTTCAATTACTTTAGAAACATTAATTAGTTCTAAGGTATAAGGCTTTTAAAATATTTTCGTTTTTTATTCAAAACATTTAGAACCTGTAGCTCTAATTACGGCAATGTTTCGTGATCGGGAAATTATTTTTCAAGATCGCTATCCTTTAAAAAACATATGAAGACTTGCATAAATTAATATTATATACAAAACGAAGAATAAAAAAGTTATATAATGTTTAATTTGTGAATCAAGTAAGTTAATACATGTGATAAGATGACAATCAAATTGCATTGTTATGGCGAGTTTCGTCGTCTTCGCTGCGTCTCCCTCGCTATCGTCGCAGCTATTTTTACAATGTTAACAGATTTTTTAGATTTTTTTTTCTTGCTGACAATTCTAACATATAAGATTGAATATTCAATTTTATATCAATAAGATAAGTGATTTGGTCGTTCACAACGCAGAAAATTCAGGTTGTATCGCTTATATTTTAGAAAGATTAATGGCGAACTGATCAGCCATTGTCGCCTTCGACGTCACAGGGTCACGTGATCGCTATCTAATTAATTCAGTGGTTTTCATTTGTGTCT